TAAACGGAGTCTCTCATTCTCAAACAGAAGGACAATGACAATATTCGAACACTTATTCTTATTCTCCCTTTCTCTCCTTGAAGTCCTCAAGAAGGAGGGAAACAAAAAAGTCAATCAGCTAAGTCTTATAAAGTAGTATTCTATTCTGTGCTTCATACCCCAGTCATATTCGGTCTCTCCAGGCAGTTAATGCCCAAGGAGCTTCCCGTTCATACTTATGAATTGAAACGGAGTAAGTTCGATCTACTGAAGTGCAAGCAGTTCGCGCCATTCAGTAGCGCCCAATTTCTTCTAACCTCTATTTCAGGCTCGTGCCCATTCAGTCGACTCACTTACTTAAAGGAAATTGCAGTAAGTACCAGGACCATGACTCACAGACTAGAAACTGTGTGTTTGTCTAAGATCACGAAGCAGTCGTAATTTCTCAAGTGGTACTACTCAAGAAGTGGTGAGAGCTTTACAACTTCTCCCTTTTTCTCAGGGTAATCTACCATCAAGGTTATTACGTCTCGAGGATCAGGAATTTGCAACGTTCTGGTTCTCCAACGAAAGTGCACCTTTACGCCACATTCCTCATTGAGAATAATAATGGTTCATCTATAACCTTACCAAAAAATAATAATTTCTATATTGGAAAGTAAATGGACTAAACAGCAATAAGAAATATATGTGTTAATTATTGAATCAATGCATTAACCCTTCTACTTGCCCACGCATTCTCCCACACAACATCTAATGGTTCTCTTAATTAATTCTAAACAATATTTTAATCCGATTCTGAAATAAATATCAGAGAAGAAAGGTGAGTTTTCACTCTTCAATTCTGATGTTTTATATTTTATGTAAAGGTACAAGAACCAATTTGACTATACATATATATCTCATTCTAGTTAAGATTGATTGTTTTGATATTTTATATTTAAAATGCTATATTATGAATCACGTAACTGGATCAGTATCTTCGATAACTGCACCCTTTTTTATACATATTCTGATAAAAAGTATAGAAATATTGCTAAAACTAAACTCTTCCAATTTTGCATAATCCACTGCCAATAGGTACCAAATTTTAGCTGTATATTAAATATTGATATACAAAAATTAATCGAAATTTTACTGATATATAAATATATATATTGATTACTTAAGAGTTATCAAAGATACAAATCGCAAATTTTAAATATATATATTTTTTAATTTCCTCGAGAAACTTATTCATCTTAATGCTTAAATTTCCTTACTTATCCTTTATTATTATTTTTTCTTTATTCTATCGATTTATTTAATATATATAATAATTCGTTTATCTTTGCTATATGTTTGTTATTTTAAAATATTCTCAACTAAATGTTACCAGGTGATTCATTTTTTGAAGTATACGCTAATTTTCTAAATAATCTAATATTTGATTAGAACTTTTTAAGATTTTCGATTGATTATGTAATACAAAATCATAATTTACTTTAACAAAAAAATTAATTTTTATGAGTATAATAATAAAATATTATCTATATTAAAATATTAATTTAAAATATTAATCCAATTCTTTCATAAATATATCATGATAAGTGTCTGGGATCAGATTAAAAGCCTCCTTGAGATGGTGAATGGAGGCTTGCTGGCAAGTGGAGGGGACAATGCAATAATTCAACACTGGCTTTGAATGTAGTGTTTTTCCTTTTATTGAATATAATAATATAATAAATTGTCAGTGGTATATTGATGTACAATTGAATGTATGATACAATGAATAGATGAGAGTTTCTTCAAAATATATGAGCGACAAGAATCCTGTAAGTGTATTCTTGGTAGTTTGGTGCTTGATTCTCCTACTCGTAGCTATGAACTCGCAGTGGTAGTGGTAGATTCGCGCAGATAAGGGGCAGCGATGGTGCCGCCTTTGCCGCTGCCGAAAAGAGCTGTAGCGGCCTGAGTGGGGGGCGACTGTGTGACGTCATTGATGCGGGGCAGCGATGGTACCGCCTTAGCCGCTGCCGAGAAGAGCTATAGCGGCCTGAATGGGGGGCGCTAGTAGGCGTATAGTAGCGTTGGTAGGCCGTGAGCTTGGCTTCCGTTGACTGCAATCGATCTCTGCAGCGTCGGTGGGCCTAGTGAGTTTGGCGTTCGTTGGACTGGCGTCGATCAGTGCAGTGTTGGGTGGCCGAGACTAGCTTGGCTTGCGCTGAGCTGGGTTCGATCTGTAGAACAGCGATCCGATCTTGATGAATGTTTGATTGAACTAGTAAGATGGTGAGAGCGTCAAGCGCGGCTCCTTAAATATTCTCGGACCAACTCGATGCGCCGACAGTGCATCAGTGGCAGTTACTATGCCGCTATTTTTTGTGACGTCAATAGGGCATAGTTTTGTACGGTTCACGTGTTAATACTTCTGGGAATTATGGTCGTACATTCGACTATTCTGCGTAGTGAGGCATTTCGAGTTCTCAGAATTGTTTATGACTCGGCGCGAGTTTTTCTAACTAAACATGGGCGACTTTACCTCTCCCACTTGTTTACCGCATAAAATTGCTGCAATCCGTAACAAAAAGGTTTCTTTATTTCTCAATAAGACTATAAAAATTTAACTTGCCTTATCAATTTTACGGGAATAAAAATTAAAGTCAGGCGATAAGATTTTGTTCAATATTATAAGAAATGAAAATCACAATGTTTAATTATTAATTTCACCTTTTTTCGATTACAATTTTTTACAAGTATAATATAATTTAATCATTATAAAATATTTACAGATTTTTAAAGTAGTTTATTAAAAATTTCTATATAAAGTATTTCTAATTTTTACTTAATTCCTTATATAAAAAACAAAAAGACTAAGAATAATGGTTTTGGTAATTTTTTAGAATTATAATCATCCGGTGGTCAAAGGCCCAAGATTATTGGATGAAACTATGGCCACCAGTTGCCTGGTGTCAGAAAAAATGAGGGAAAGTGGAAGGGATAGCGTATTAATTAAATATTTAACATTTGCTTTTCGTACTGTTTATTGCTTTTTACTTTACAAACTACACAATAATGTTCTAAGATCGTGATGAGAATCGTTGAGATCTCGCAGTTCCGTGGTGGTTGCCATGTGGTAATAGCATGCACTTCATGCAGAGGTAGGAGGTTGTAAGTCTCCGGATACTCTTGACGTAGTGTGCTTGGTGGTAAATTATTACACTGTGAAGTAAGCGGTTGTAAATCTATAGTACTTCTTCGTGTAATACCACGTGATGGTAACTTGTTAAGGTCTCCTCACTGGAATGGCCTTGTTGACCTTGTGCTAGACGTACTCTTAGAAGGACCTTATTTGCCTTGTGCTAGACACACTATTCTTCGAAAGGACTTGTTGGCCTTGTGCTAGAGGCACTACTATAAAGGCCTTATTAGCCTTTTTTATTTCTGTATTATATGCGTAGTGGTGCTCACAGGAATGTAATTGCCTTGCTTGTTTATTACGATTCTTGTAGTCGTGTACGTTCTTGTAATGCAGTTGGCATCCTTAACTACATGTTAATTGTTGCGCAATTGAGAATTGAACGTGTAATACTTATAATGCATTCACTGTTTTAGCGTTACTGATTGACTAGCTTATAGCTGTAAACTCTGGCTGAATGGCATAATTTCAATTAGCGCCGTAGCGTGATGTGCTTCCTTTAAATATCTGTGCGGCAGCTTGCTTAGCTGGCAACAACGCATAGGTATTGCTATATATGAAATCTTGAGACTAAAGCTTTACAACTTTCGAGAACTCCAGGAAAGCAAAGCTTTAGAAGGTCAGAGAATTCCACCCGACGTCGCTATGCGGAAAATATTGTAGGACATGCAAAAATAAGGCTTTATAATATTGAAGAAATCTCGAATACCCAAGGTCCTAGGTTCTAATTACGAACAATAATAAGAAAGTATTGGGTAATAATAATCTGAATTTTGTATAGACCTATTTAAAAACTAGTGATTTAAGTATATAAGGAAATTATAATTTGAGTATATGTATATATATATAGAATTCAAGATCCTTGTCGAATAATTATTTTTGCTTTTTATAAATTTTTATTATAATTAAATATATATTCTCGTACTTTCGTAACATCTAGTTATTATTTTAAATAGATCAAGAATTATAATATTCTAAACTTTATTATCTCTCCGACAACTTACTTTTACAATGTAACATTCACAGTATCCGAAACAATAATGTATTAAATATATATAAAAGATGTTTATATAAATATAAAATATATAAAAATATAATCTGCTATTATCTATAACAAAATGTAAATTAATTTTATGAAAAAATGAATGAATACTAATAATATTCGAAGTGTAATTCATACAAATTTTATCAAAAATTAGAAACCTAGTATATATATATATATATATATATATGTATAAATGCACTCGCGCGTCCACACACAGACCTACTCAAATATAAATATATGTATATATATATGTATGTATTTATGCACGTATGCAGTATGTATGCATTTACATGTATGTAGGTATATATGTCGATATGTATATATATATATATATATATATATATGTAGGTATGTTTATGTCAGTATCTATGTATGTATATTTATTTACTTCGCCTATTATAGATATCATATGGTATAATGTAATCATATGATAAATTAAAATATTCCTTAGAAAATACTAATATAATATACATAAATATATATTATTATTTATTCAAATATTTTTAATAGTTTTTAACTTAAAAATATATAATAAATTCAAATAAATTATTTCATTTGAAAATGATATCTATTATTGTTTTGAAAGAATGTTAATTTATTGATTATATTCTTTATGAATAATTAATGTTTTCATATGAAATTATAATTTTATAATTTATTAAAGGTTAAAATTTAAAATGTATAATAAATTCAATAAATCATCATTAAATTAATTAGAACTGCATGATCATTAATTTTAATAATAGCATTTTAATTTATTTTACTAAAAATGTAATTATACATCAATATTATTGGCTACTAAGTAGATACTGTGTTAGCGGATGTATTCCTAATATGTGTATCATTAACTGGAGCTTCATCTGAGGGTGCATCATTAATATGTTCTTGACCATCATTTAAATCACCATGAAGAGCTTTACTAGTAAAAACATTACCAGCGGGAGCTTCACCAATAAATGCATTATTAACAGTAGCTTCAGTAGCAGGAACTTCATCGGCAGACTCAATAACAGTAGCAGCTTTATCAACGAATTTATTATTAGCAGGAATTTCACTAGCACGAGCTTCACTTACAGGTGAACCATCATCAACTTTATTAGCTGAGGAATCACCAGTAAAAGTTGTTCTAACGGGTTCATTATTTGTGAGAGGTTTACCAACAGAATCATCACTCGTAGAAGCTTCACTAGCTAATGCATTATTAGCAGATGCTTCACTAGTGGAAGTTTCACTAGTGGGTGCGTTACTGGCGAGAGTTCCACCAGCAGGGAAATCACTAGTAGAAGCTTTACTAGCAGATGTTTCACTAGTAGAAACTTCACCAGTAGCTGTATCACCTTCGAGGACTACACTATTAGGCGCTTTACTAACAGATGTTTCATTAGTAGGAGTTTCAGAAATAGGTACATCATCAACGGGAATTTCACCGGCGGAAATATCGCCAACAGGTACTTTATTAGCGGAAATTTCTTCAGTAATACTATCCTTAGTTTGTGATTTAGCAACGGGAGTTATGCCGGCGGGAATATCACCACCTGGAACTTTATCAATGCCAATTTCACTAATAGGAGTATTACCAATAGATCCTTTCCTAGCTGAAGTTTTATTAGCAGAAATCTCACCAGTCAGAGCTTTATCAATAGTAATTTTATCAGTGGAAGTATCACTAGTGAGTTCTTTTCCAGTAGTAGTTTCGTCAGAGGGAGTTTCATCAGTAGAAATTTCATCAGCCGGAATTTTAATTTCACCAATAGGAAATTTACTAGCAGATGTATCACTAGTAGTTGTTTTATCAGCAGGAGCTTCACCAGTGTCCCTTTCACCAACGAATGCTTTACCCGTCACAGTTTCACTAGTAGAAGCTTGACCTGTAGACTCATCTGTGGCAGATTCTTTATCAGTAGGTATTTCACCAATAGGTACTTCAATATTCGGTGTACTACTAATAAATTCTTCATTACTATGTACTTGAGTAGTTTCTATAATTTTAAGTTTTGTTGTATAAATTTCGACCGTAAAATCAAGACTTCTACCTCTTGCACTTTTAAAATGAATTGAAACATATTTAAAACTGATTCCACCATTTTTTATAGTAACGTGAGCACGACTACCACTATCATTATTATCAAAAATGCGAATATAAGTAATTTTACTAGGAACGTTGTAAGTTTTGAATGCCCAAACAGGTCGCAACATTTTGGAAGGCACCTTTATATCTTCTTTTAAAGTAAGTTTATCGCCAGGTAAACGCTTTCCAAAAGTCATATCATTTCGATATGACACACCAAATAAACCAGCAACAGTGGTGAATAGAGCGCAAAATAGTATACGCTGACTCACCATATTTTTATAATAAGAAAATTACTGTAAAAAAATAAAATATTTTTAAATATAAATTATTTTACTAAAAATTGTAAGAATTTAAAGCTGAAAATTCCATATTTATTTCGGGGAATACTTAAAAAAATTGATATTACTACATTTTTAATCATAAAAAATTCAATTAAGTTAACTCGAATATATTTTACAATTTATACCAAATTATATACATTTAAATCTTTCATCAATTATATTTATGGAATTTGCATTAAAGATTTCTATTTTCTAGTTAAACAAATATATAATTTATACCTTTATAAAAAAATATTGTTAAATACACAAATATACTATTTTAATAATTTTTAGTTTAGTCTGTACTGAACTTTATTAATATTATATAAAAAGTCATGTAAAATAAATAAAATTATATAAATAAATAGTTTTTTAAAATTTTAAAATTACCAAAGTAGGATTCATTAATATACTTTTAAATGTTATTTAATAAAATATTTACCTTAAAATACGTTAAAAATTCTTTCAGATCTATATTGAAATTTTTACTTTAATTGGTTGTGAATTAGAAGAAATAATACATTAAATAAAAACATTATTGGCTATAATACGTCGAATTTATTATTTCTACTCAAAATTAAAGAAAAATAGAGATAGGTATATACATGTATTACATCAATCACGACAAATATTATAGTAGCTATAAAATTAATAAATTAACTTAAACTATAAAAATGAATTCAACACTTTCATTAACATATTTTTCACCAAATATAATGTTTAAATATATATATAAATTTATTGTTCACGATTTTGATTTTCAATTGTATTTTTAGTAATATAAAAATATTGATTTGTTCATTAAAACAAATATGATACATCATACGTAGACAACAAGATATTTAATATGTGATATTTAATATGTGATATTTAATGTTTATATATAATTAAAAAAAAAAACATTATGATACATTGATTATTTATTATAGCATCCAAATTTTATATGTTTTGTGTAAAATAAGTCGAATAAATAATAAAATAATATGTTTTTGCAAATTTCTAACGTATAATTTAATTCTTAGTATATAATGTTTCAATTTAAAATTCATGTCTTTGATTGAATAATAATCCATTTAATTCATGCAAACACATGGGCTTACTACTCATAACTATATATATTATAAATATATTATACAATATTACAATAATCAAATGAATTATTTCTATTACAATAATCCACTTAAATATCAGAATTTGTTGTTATATAAATAGTAAATATAGTAAAATAACAAATAATTCAACCTAATTTGAAAAAACTTTCACATAACTAATTTCAACATTATAAATTAGTTATAAAAACGTTTTTTATGAAAAACTAAGTAAGATTTATAAATATAAGAGTTATTGTATATTTTAGTTTAAGAAATAACACATTTCTTCTATGCAAATGAAATAAATAAATTAACTCAATGAAATAAAATAATGCTTAAATTTGCTTAAAGGTGTAAAGTTCATAAAATCTATCAACTATGTTTATCTTATCGATTATTATAAAATAATAATAAGATTGCTAATTATCAAAATGATGAAAATAAAGTTTGTAGAATGTATAACTAACACAATCGGCTAAACAGAAAAAATTAACAACGTTTAAGAAAATAATTAACACAAATAAATTAATGTATTTAATCAATATTAGTTTATTAAAAACATTATTTATTGTTTTCTTATTTTTAGAATATGATGTTTTATTTAAAGAATAAAATAATCTACCATATTTTAATAAATAAACGTTAATATTAAATCAAATATTATGTTATTGAATACTATCAAATCCAATAGTATATTGATGAAAATTATGTATTGTAATTTAAATATTACATATTTTATAATGTACAGAATATAGTCACATTATTTATAATATTTCTATAATTTTCAGTCATGAAAATATAAGGTATTAAACTAAATTAATTGTAATAATTCCCTATTATATCTGTACATAATTTGTATGTTATGTAATCACAATTAATTAGGCTTAATTCGTAAATCTATATAATTAGTCATAAGATTTTTTCATTAAAATAATTATTACGAACAATCTCCAAAACATTATGATTTTCAAAGATTGTTAATATAGATTCACATCGACTTTGGAGCAATTTATCGTCTCCTTCCGTAAACACACTTCACATATCCATTTTAAAATGTTTTACGTATTTAACATAAAAACTGCCTGTTTATTTCAAATTTGAAACCTTGATCAACTTTTATATGTACTATAAAAACAATGTATACAGTAGTTACTAAAAACATTTCGTCTTAAAGCGATATATTAAAATAAAATAAAAATAAATTAATACGTAAAGATAATCATGAAATGATTACCAATTTTAAAACATAATAAACAAATCATGTACATCGGGATAAAGACATTTCAATAAGTTTTTAATTAAATTGATATAGTATGAAAATGTAATGAATTTGAAAAATGTGGTTAATTACTAGAAGAAAATATAAAAAATTAAGCAAAGTATTAAAATACTAATTGTTTTTAAGTTCTTTGAAATTCTTTTAATAAAAATATATGGACAATGATTTCATTTTCAATCATTTATAATTCTAAAAATATTCCACTATTAATGCTCATTTTCATATGATTTCATTTTCATGCTCATTTTTATAGAGTTATTAATAATATCATAATATGTATAAGTAAATATAGGAGATTCACGTTTTATGCTTCTGGGCTAATCTAAAATAACAAATAGTCGCGGTTCTAAAGTCTAATGGTATTATTTCTATTAATATTAGATAGCTCTTTTTAAATATACTGTAATTTTTTAAAATATGAGTTTGACAATAACTGTGTAATTTGAACAATTTCTTCTTTGAATATATAGTAAAATGTTTTGTTTCACTCAGTTTCTATAATTTTAAATCGAAAACAAGCTTTTTTATCATAAAATTATTATTTAGAAAATAAATAATTAGTGTTCAACAGATTAATATCTCCAAAAATTAATATATTTTATTTTAACAAATTCAAAAAAAAATAATTCAAAGTTTAAACGAATACAAGAATTATAAAAATGCAAAATCATAATTAAAAACATATATTATATCTTAAGTACATGAATAAATTAATAATACCCTGAAAGTTTCTTTATTATATATTATAGTTTGTTTAATTTATGAAACAAAATATTATCAGTATCTTATATATAATAAAACCATAATATAATACCACTGTATTTATAGATTAGACTTGAAACAACCTTAGGAAGCTAATTTTTTCGGTCAGAAAATATTACCTCCATTGAAATTTTAATAATTTGACCCAAATTATTGTTTTAATATTGGATAATATATCATGCAATAAATTCGATCTTCTGTGAAAACGTAAATTACATTTTAGTTTGACAAAATTTAATCTTATAGATAGTGAATATTCCTCTGATACTTAAAAAAAGAAAAAAAATTTTCAAAATAAGAATAGTTAAAAGTTTCATTAAAATTTTGCTTTTAATTTTGATATTAACATACACGGTTGACAACTACACAAAAAATAACTGGTATCAAACAATATCAAATATTTTAAAAGAAACTTAACAGCCAACCGAAAACTTAAAAAAATTATAATATATATACATATATAATGCTACTATTTATCACTAATCTGAATCAATAAAACCGTTAAATAACTTCATTATTCTAAAATATTATTTTATATGTTATTGCTTAAAAAATATATTGAGATTTATTTATTTCCTACTTATAACATTAAATAATCATTAAACATTTGTAATAAGTCCATACTATAATTCATACAATTGAATGACTTCATATTATAATTACTACAAAACTGTATCACTATACAATTATTTTGCAATAATAATATTTAATAAATTTCATATAAAAAAAATATTTTATAACATATTCATAAAGAACTTACGTTATAATCCATATCTTAAAAATATGAAAATTATAATTATAAGAGTATATAATTATAAATACAAAAATTATAATTATAAGAAATAGTGTTTCTAAAAGTCTAAGAATTTGTATTAATATATTAGTTAATTCATATTTAATTAATAATTCTAATTAGTTTAAATCAGCCAAAAACTTATATATTAATATATTTTTATTTACAGAACTTTAGAAGATTAATAAATGGAAATAATAAAATTCAATTTTTATTTTCAACGTTGTTTTAATTGTATAGTAACTATATTGTAGATATAGACTTCTTACTAGTTTACAAACACTAATGTATAAAACTCTACAAATTAAAAGAATAAAAGTAAAAAAAAAACTTGAAATAAATATCTAAAAATCTTTATATTAAAACTACCCTACCGGGTAAGAATTTCTTGGTAATCTAATATTGATTCAATAAATTCTTATTTCAATTTTTTAACACGTTCAATTTCTATTATCTATTTAAATATAAATTATCTAAATTTTTACAATTTCTGAAAAAAAACAGACATAAGCCACCAAAAATTATAGAAAGTTCACAAAGTTTAAATAAATTTTCCATGAATTCTAGATGAATACATGAACCCCTATAATGAATAACTAATTTTATGGTATTATTAGCTAACTTAAACCCATAATTATAATTTATGCAGTTATTATTTATATATATATACACTTGAAATATTTGTTTATAATTAATAAATTTTTAGTCAAATATTATAAAAAAAATTTTTTCAAGAATTCTATCCAGTTAAATTAACAGAAATACGTCACAAAATAAGAAAATGATGTAATAGAACTGTCACGACCGCTTATACTGAAAATTCTTAAGTAACGTAGATACATATCTTCTTAATATAAATAATATAAATTTGAATAATAAAATCTATTGTTGCTTTGACTGTTATTTTATTAAAACAAATAATTTATACCACATGGTTATACTGATATATATATAATTTATTTAATATAATTTATATATATATATATATATATATAAATTTTTTTATATATATTTTACTCCATTACCATATTGATTACATTTGTATCATATTCCGTTAAAAGAAAAATTATGTAATTTAAAACGAATAATTATTGTAAAAATAAAAAAATCTTGTAAATCCATTTTAATAAAAAAAATTGGATTTATGAAAAATATAAATTAATATAAATTAAATCAATATTAATATAACAAATGTAATAGCTGCATTTTTTAATTACATTTATTTCATTGAAAACTTATTGTTTCTCACAGTTGAAATATTCTGTTTTTCACGTAACAATCGATATAAGGTTAAAATACTTGGATCCCAACATTCCCAATATTTACTATTTATCATTCCATAGATAGATATTATGAATGAATTTACACCACTCAAATATATCTTATTTAAAAAATTTAATAGAAATATTAATTTTTTGTGTGGCTATGTTCTAAACCTTTCCTTCATATACATTTATTATAATAAATAATGAAATATATATTCAAAAGATTCGTATTTCATCTATATATTTCTGTAAAAATATTACTCAAAAATTAATGGACTTATATGAAAATAATG